TAACGGAGCTCTTATACGATGAACTTAACTTGTTTAGCTCTACAATCACACAGAAGTATGAAACCAGATCAAATCACACGTGATATGTTGTTTAGCGAAGTGTTAAAAACTTGTAGAAAGGGTTTTAAAAAAAGTCTTAAAAACTGTTTTACCTTATTCTAGAATTATGAGAATGTATTTACCATCTTGGATTTACTTTGTCTTAAACAGCCTAAAAGCCAACATTGGGGGCTTGCGCCAGAAGCCTGAATCATTTTACGACCAGCGTTACTACTCAGAGGTGATTTTCGAATTCAAAGCGTTCGATGGTGTTAAGCGTTACGTCAGATTCCGTATGATGCCCGCTGATGGGCGGCCAGAAACAGGCTTATTGTCTGAGGAAGTCCAGCAGCATCCATGGTGAGGAGTAGAAACATCTGAAAATCCTAGCCTCCTTATCTTTGAACCCAATTTTGATAGAATATCTCAAACTGCAACCTTCATTTGTATCTTCCTGAGCTTCCATTAGTATCCCTTGCCTGGTTAAACCGTAGGAAGAGAAATGCATTCGTTTGATTCGTTCAGTTCTTCCCCAGCTTCAAAGTATTGCTCATTGCTTTAGGTGGGTGTGGATGGAGACAAGAAAGCATTAGGATAGTATTTTTGGATCCTCATTGTAAACAGATCCCACAAAACGTTTTCGCATATCAGAGTTAGGTCCGCCTCCTAAGTTTTAAACTGATACAAACTGACAACTGGAGATACGTGTTAGCCAGAGTGATTTAGAATTCAATATAAGCTATGCTATTATCTTATTCACGTTCTCTTGTTGCCTTCGAAATGAAAGAGGAATGGGAGATCACCCGTTTAGACGAGGTGACAATTAATTCAATGTGATTACTACCTTTATATCACTATAGGCAAAACCGAGGTTTATGGCGCGAAAAGTTCAGCTTGTCTTTCTCTCACCAATATTTGAGTGAAGTTGAATTTTATTTCGGGCTAAAAGATTCCATTCAGTGTATTTCCTGCAAATGAGATAACCTAAATTAAAAACAGGATGTAAGTTTTCAAAGTTCGGAATGAACAAACTCTGGTCCAAAAAAAGTCTATTGGATATTTTATCTCCTTACAGGATAAATGAAAGGTCACCCGATGAGACCTTACCAATGGACTATCTCAAGCGTGAGTACAGAGAGAGAATTTCCAAGGGACCACTCGACTATAAACTACAGCTGCAACTCCATGAACCTAAGGACGGTGATGTGCCATGGATACTTCATGTCGGGAGGGAATGGGACGAGGAAACGCACCCATGGTTAGATTTGGCTGACATCAAAGTGACGTCATTACTCTCTCCAACCGCAACGGAACGCCTGAAGTTTATATATTTAAACCTTCCAGCGTCAATTGGTCTTTTGCCAGCCGTATCTGTTGATGATCCTAATGTTGTTCTTCACATTCGTAATGAAGTGTACGTCTGGTCTCAGAAGCTACGGAAAAACAGATCAAATAAGCTTGTCCCAGAGCACC